AGATCCTTTTGACTGGAGATGCTGGGGTTGAATGTCGGACCTCAGCGTTCTTACAACTGTCGAGACGGAAAGGACCCTATGGATCACTGAGTCAAGGAGATCCAGCCGGGAATTGAACCCCCACACCTATGGCTTCAGAACCAAATACCTAAACCATTGAGCTATCCAGCAGTTCACGTCTTAGTACCCAATGAACTTTGACCCCCGGCCCCGGTGCAGAAATTGCCGATAAATCTCTCTAGCTGGCAAGATGACTTTAAAGCTCGGGGGGAAATGAGCCAAATCTCCGGCTGCTGGAGAATGAGGCATAAAGACTTTGGAGATTTGAAAACAGAAAACTGGAAGCCGTCCTTCGCTCGTGACTCAAGACCACCGGAGGCCCAGCCAAGATTTGCCCCGGCTGTCGCCCCGGGATCTGTCTGCACTCTTCTGGAAGCAGACACCGGCCACAGCGGGCATCTGAGAAGGGAAGGGGGGGGGAATTCTTGGCAACGGTCTTAGACCAGCGATCACAGAGCGAAAAGAAGCGTTCAAAAGGGCATCGGTGGAGCTGTCACTCCAACAGCTTAATGTGCTTCGGACTTTTATGTCTTCCTCCGACTTTTGTTTCTCTTTGAAACAGTCAAAGACAAAGATGTTCTTGGCTCCATTCCCGAATGTCAAAACAGATACTCTGGGGGGTCAAGAATATGAAACTGTGCTTCTGTCCCTAAATAAATATTTCGGGGTTACCTGGTGGGTTTTTTTGTTGCTGTTGTTTTTGTTAAAGCTTCATAATTTATATCGATTTGTCCACGAAGCCACGTCTCCCCGGTGGCCAACATTCTGTCCTGGATACCGGGGAAACGTTGAAAGGGCTTCAGTTCATCTGCAGGCATTTTTCCTTACAAACTCTTTCACTAATTAACGAGGCATCGTCTCAGTCAATCGACGTGCTGCCGTTGTTCAGGAAAACTGGAGGTTAACCTTTCAAAACCACGCTGTTGCTCAACGGCACTGCTAAACACACAACAGAACTACGCAACAGATCATCATCCTCTTCGAACTACGGAGCTGGAAGGGCTCCCGAGGATCATCAAGTCCAGCCCTTGTCAAGGAGGACCGGTGAAGAATTCGAACTCTCAACCGAGACCTAAACCACTGAGCTATCCAGCAGTTAGTTTGCAAGTTTCCATTGCTTGTTAACATAATATCCCTCTCTTTGAGTGCATCAACATTTCCTGATTTGATCTGATTCAGGAAAAAACAAGAAAGGTGGAGCAGAAGCGTATCAGAGGACTGTGCTGTGCAGCTAGATGAATTTAACCAGAAATTCAGAATTCTGCAACAGTTTCTGCAATCTGGAACCTCTGCCACTGCATCCATCTACTTCCCTGCTGCTTAAGAGTTACTGAGCCAAGGAGGAGATTCACCCCCTTTATAAATGTACAGATGGCTGAGATGCAGGATCCAGGCTGAGTCTGATGGGACACCCTTAGAAATCTCTGCAGACAAACTTAAGGTGCATTCTAATGACCTGAACCCAATCAGGGGACCTGTGCATGGCATAAATCCAGCGCACATACACAAACTTCACTTCCTGCCCGGAGCACTTGATTTCTACAACCCTGGCTCTTTGTATAAGCAGGGGGGGATAATCTTACATTTGGATCAAAGGTACAGGTCAGTTTGAGTTTGAGGCTAACACGAGGGTCAAGTATAAGGCTAGCCAAGGCAGCTTGGCAGGTTTTATTCCCTAACAGCTACTCTTGGCTTGGATCAACTTTGCACAGGACGGACGGATGGTTCATTTCCCCCCATTGCCAAGAAAACCTTTAATCATTCAACGGGCTAATCTCTGTCCAGGGAATTCTGGGGAAATTAAAAACGGCTTAGATCGAGGCAGACACGGGTAAACGCTGTTTGTTTCACACATCATGATCCTGGAAAGAAACTGAACATTTTTCTTTCTCCCAATAAAATATATACTGTACAACGATGGAAAAAAAATACAAGGCATTGGACTGTTTGATTTCTTGAACAAGGCCATGTGGAGTACTTTCTTTGCTCATGCTGTTGTGTTTTTTAAAGGCATACCCACTAAACATTCACTCTCCCCACCATCACTGAAAAAAAATTCATCAGCCTAACTGGCAAATATTTGGAGGGCCCTCCAATGCTCAAGAGGAAATTGGACAGATCTACAGTACTTTGATCTGGATTCCTGCCTTGAGCAGGTAGCGTTGGACTCAACCCTGGTCGGCCCCATTTGGAAAAGCCTTTGTACGGACAAACTTTCTCCAGGAACAGAAGGTGCAAAAGAAATCACTCAGTTACCTGCACACCGATGACGACATGCGCAACAGGAAACGGCTTTTATGAACTCACAAGAACTACAGCAGTGCCGAGATATTTCTTGCTGAGTCTGCCATCCACACCCTGTGTCATGTGAACAACAAGCAACTTCCAGGTCCATGATCCCCTTCCTTAGCATGATAATAAATAATAAGCATGTACCATATAGAGACCCTTTCCAGCGTTTTCCAGGTAGAGAAGATTCAGAAGTGCTTTACCCTTCTCTTCCTCTAGGGGCACTGTGGGACTGTGCAGCTTGCCCAAGGCTACCCAGGCTGGCTCTTCACCCAGAAGACACAGTAGGGAATTGAACTCCCAACCTCAGGTATCTAACTCACTGAACTGTACAGCCAACACCAACCAAAGATCCTGGGCACTCAATATCCTGGGACTACGCAGCCGACCCAAGGCCACCCAGGTTGGCTCCTCTGAGATACACAGTGGGGAATCGAACTCCCAACCTCTGGCTCCACAGCCAGAGACCAACAGGGAAAGGGGAATTATTCAGGAGACATGGGGGCAGGGAAATGGGGAATGAGAGGAGCACAATTCTGCCTTCATGAAATCCTCTCTCTCTCTCTCTTTCTCTCTCTCTCTCTCTCTCTCTCTCTCTCTCACACACACACACACACACACACACACACACACACACACACACCAAATGCTTCTCCTTTCACATTTCCAAAATCTCAAACTGTGTTGGGCTTCTTCCACAATAGCAAAGGATGAAAAGACACCCAAGACGCCAGGGAGCCAGGGGAGAAAAATGGTACATAATTTGGACCTCGTCTAGTAATTTTAAGGTTTATTTTTAACGGGTGTGAGTAAAGGAGGTCTTTGGTTTGGCACTTGGCACCTGCTCAGAGACCCACCCTGGAGTTCTCCAAGGTGTCGGCTGATTTACGGTTGTTTTGTTTTGGTCTGTATCTGAAAGTAGGAAAGCATGAATGGCTCAGAACAGCTCCTGCTTTTTATGAGCACATTTCTTTTAAGTTTGCCAAGGCCTTTTTCTCCTTTCGGGTCGTCTCGGCCAAGGTCTCCTGCGGCCACTCAAGGAAATGGAAGAAGCATGTCCTTTTGCCATTCTGCAAAATTCTGGAGGAAGAACTTCAGAATACTGATGGACAAAGGGAAACGTGCCATTACTGCCAGCCCTGCAATTTTGCAAAAAATATTGGCTTGCAAAAAATATATATATATTTGGTCTTTTCTCTTCCGTCCTTTGTACCCTAATTTTTTCCACCATCTGGGGCGATGAAGAATGCTAGAGAACTTTAAAAAGTTCACCCACGTTGCCTTTGCGTCAAGGCATAATCAAGGATTTGTTGAAAAGGTTGCATCCTTGCATGCTGCCTCTAGTGGGTGTGGCTGGGAGGAACTTTTCTGGCCTGGGGTGGCTGTCAATCACTCAGTTGGAAGCAGTCCGTTGTTTGTTTGCTGTTGATGTACCGGGTTGGGTGCTAGTATATGTACAATAGAGAAAACAACATGCACAGATCTGTAATTTCAAGCAACTGTTAATAAAAATCTTTTTAAGTGTTCATCCTACAAGCGTGTCAGAGTAAGTTACTGAGACTTTGTCAGTTTATGGGAGAGGGGTGGACTCCCTCCCCCGTGACTTTCCTCCATTGACTCTGGGTTTATATGATTAGTCTGTGTTTTTTGGGGTTTTTGCTGTTTGCTTTCAATGTTTTTATCTTTATTTTTGTTCTCTGTTATACAGGTTGTAACTAATGGGAGCTGGATACAAACTAATGAATGAATGAATGAATGAATGAACGAATGAATGAATGAATGAATGAATGAATGAATGAATGAATGAATGAATGAATGGATTGTAGCTATTCTTGTCTGTAGATCTCTGTACTTCTACTGCATGGCAAAAAAATAATTTTGCCAGACGTTCAAAACCTTGCAACAAAATCAAACACATGACCAGCTGCATGAAGGGCACCTCGTGAGGTCAGGGAATTCGAACAAGTTTCCTTGCACATGCAGTTCCTCTTTCAGACACAATTATTTCCATGAGATCTCTGGGCTAGAGCTTCTCATGGGCATTCCACACACAAAAGCAAAATTCTTCTCTCTGAGCAGGACTTTCTCCCCACCCACCCGCTCCACGGTTCCTCTTCCATCCTTCAAAGAGATGGAGCCGACAAATCCTCTTAAATCCAGCTTAGCCGTTAGAAACACACAACATGCTTTCCCCAAACAGTGTCTGGGGAGGAAGTAATTCTCTCTGAGACCACAAGCTTGAGGGTCTTCGGCTCCTCCAGGTGTCACACAGCTGCCAAGGGGGCGCTTGGAGACCCGTTACGTTCCTCACACTATAAAGAACACCTCACAATCTCTGGGGCTTGCTCCTTGGGACCAAGCTGATCACCAAACACCCTCCGGAAAGAGAGGAAGGAGGGAAACATAACAGATAAAGGAGTTCGGCTTCCATCAAAAACCAATCCAAAAATCCAAGGTAATCTGAATCTTAGCACGGCCGAGCTGGAAGGGACCCAGGGGTCATCCAGTCCAGCCCATCAAGGAAGCGTGGTGGAGAATTCGAACTCGCAACCTCGGGCTCTGCAGCCAGAGACCTCGATGACAAACTCAGTATCCAAGACACGTTAGTCTACTGGGCAAACGGTCATTAGTCAAACGAACCCAATTATTACCTTCACATGTCTTCCCATCATCTTTCAGCTTTGATCCTTGCAGGCACCTGCAGTAGAAACTCCCAATGGTGTTACAGCACTGAGATTCGCACCCGGCATTTCCAGCGTCACATTCGTTCACATCTACGACGAAGAAACACACAAAAAAGGGAGAAGATCTGATATCTGCTCAAGAATTAGAACTCAGTCCGTGTTAGAATTTTTGGGGTGGTTCAGGGTAAATCAAGATGATGCTCCGGAGGCACGTTCTGTTGGACTGCGTACCACCAGAACCCTTAGACATTTAAGATGTTTTATCCCAGGGTAAAAATATTTTCCACCCGCGGGAAAAGGAAATGTAGAGGAACTGGAGGGAAAAATTCAAAACAAGACATCAAGGAGGTTACAAACACATCAGGGCAGTTTTAAATACAAGCCCAACGAGATCAAAAGGGCTGTCAAAGGCCTGTCTAAAAAAATGAGAAAAGAAGGGTTAAAACTCTAGAAAATGGATTATTAGCAGTTTTAATTACGCATAACTGAATAAATAGTCTCAAATACATAGAATCTTAGAACTGCAGAACTGAAAGGGACCACATAACTGAATAGTCTCAAATATATAATCTTAGAACTGCAGAACTGAAAGGGACCCTATGGGTCATCCATTCCAGCCCCTGTCAAGGAGGCACAGTGGGATTCGAACTCCCAACCTCTGGATCCACAGCCAAAGACTTAAACCCCCAAGCTAGAATGTTATAATGAGGACAGCAATGCTGATCAATGTTGGAAGGTGTTTTGTTTTTTTTAAACAACCTTGCATGCTGTCTGTTCGGCTGGGAGGGACTTTTCTGGCCTGGGGGGATGGCCAGTCTATCCAGCAATCACCCAATAATTCCCCCCCCATACATACATCAGAAATAATTCTGATTTCAAAGAGAGCCCCCACCTCTCTGCTCAGGTATCTTTCCCTCTCTAGAGTCTGTCAAAGTCTGTTGCTCAAAGCAGCCATGTGCTGTCAGTTTGCTGTTAATCTGTAAATAAATCCAGCAGTTTTATTCTTTCTGCTCTTAATGTCTCAGAACGAGTTTTTGAGACTGTAAGTGCCAGATAATGAGGAAAGGCGTGGACTCATCCGGGGGACTTGAAACTATTCTGCTCCGTGAATCTCTCTGCTTCGGCTGCGCAGCTAGAGAAATTTAACCAGAAATTCCAAACTTTGCTATAATAATGCCTTTCCTAGAGTGCAACAATAAGAAATGGAATGAGCTCCTTTTCTATAATTACACTCTGAATTCTGCTGGTGATGGCCTATGAAACGTTTAGTGACTAGGGTACAGGTTATCAGAAAACCCCTACATTTCCATATGAAATGCTGCAGTACAACCATACATTCATACCTGTGTTAGCCCAGGCTTGGAGAAAGCCTGGATCTTCATTCCACAAAACTTTTGCAGTAGCTGTTCATAATCCCCAAAATTTCTCGGAGGATAATCCCATCCCTCCACCATCTTGGTCATCATCTTTTATTTCATACCCCTTGGAGGCTCCCTTTTGTATAGAAAGCAGGGCTATAAATCCAGACACCTTTTTTTGGAAAAAAAAAAATTTAAAAAGCTGAAGACTTTGATTGTTTGTTGTTCCCGGTTGACTTTTTGTCCACGGGACGGCTGGCAGAAACGGCCATCCGTTTTCTCTTGAGCCAGCCTTGAAGAAGCCATCCAAGGGTTCGTTAAAAACCCAACTCATCAGCTTATACAGCAGAAACAAAAAAGCTGCAGGGGAGCAATCCATGGGTGACAGACAGACAAACAGTTCAATTTACAGCCAAGGCACTGTGTTGAATGTGAGCCGTTCCCATAAGAAGCCCTGCTGTGGCAGTAAAAGGGAAGGATTCTGCTCCTTCCTGAATCCCTTGTGGAACTTTGGAACTTCTGATCTGAATCGGCTTTTTCTTGCACACTGATGCCCAGATCAGAATCTAGGCACTCATCTGCTTTTGATCTTTCTAAAGCTCCTGACATGATTCCCCCACTTGGGAAAAAAAAAGTCAAAACAGGCAAACGGGATTGAGACGAAATAAATCCATCAGAATGCAATTGCTCACATACAGCAGCATAAGTGCTATAGCATAGATGGCACATTGCAGCTAATTAAGCAGTCGGTGCTTGTATTCCTTGTCACATGCCAGTCTTGAGACTTGGCACACAGCGAGGAATGAAAGCATTAACTGCTAACTAGCAGAAGTTTTCTGCTCCTGTTTATATTATTACACTTAACACTGGTATCCAGAAATAACAAGATATTGGCCATTTTTCCAAATGCATATTTTAATCCGCATTGAAATGTAAATTGTGAAGGCTTTAAATAGGTATGTTAAAGTAGAAAAAAAGGATGGAATGGTCTTCTGGCTGAGCAAAAGTACAATGGAAAAGGAATAGCCATTCACCCTTCTTATACAGGCTAGATGATACGTTTGGCACATTTCTAGAAAAGGTGCTCCCTCAAGCAGTGAAGAAAGGTCTGATTGTCATAGGATACAACCGCCCTTGTCACATATCTTGCATTTAGTGGGTGCCACGGTGCAACTGGTCACTGACAGACAAATAATCGTCATCGTAGAACTGCAGAGCTGGAAGTCACTGACAGACAAATACTCGTCATCGTAGAACTGCAGAGCTGGAAGGGGCTTCAGTTTGCAAGAGCTGATTGGAGGGCAGGAATTGTTGGAGATCGCTCATTCATGGGGTTGCCATAAGAATCACCAGAGGCTTCAGTTTGTAAGAGTTGATTGGAGGACAGGAATTGTTGGAGATGGCTCATTCATGGGGTTTCCATAAGTCCGCTTGAGAGCATGTTACAACACAACAACATTGTCTGCTCCAGGTCTCAAGGCGGGAGATAAATACTCAGCAAAGGGGAAAGGGAGAGTCTGTTTTTTGCCCGCACGGTGGCTGTTCTTCATCTCTGGTTCAGTAAGACTGTAAGAATAAAGGCATGCTAGATCGGATCAAAGGCCTATGGAGTTCCCACACACACACACTGTCTTTCGTGAGTGACTAACAACATCTGGAGGCAATGTCCACCATAAAGGAAGAGTCCAAAGCAAATTCAGGCTGCTGATAAAAGGCATGGAAACTTAGCTTTGGTTTCAAAAGCCTTTTCTATGTGGCCATCTTTTCCTGGAAGACTCCTGCCCCCTAGTGGTGGATCTTATTAAATCAAACAAAAACATTGTACCCTTGTTGTGGTTCAATTCACCGCATCTTCCCCAAGATCAGAAAGCAAAAGGGAGAATTAAGGACCTGTGTGTGTGTGGAAGAGAGTGAGCACTAACACACGAAGGAAACAGAGAGTGAGAGAACAAATTTTATAGGTATTCTTGTTTTTATAAGCCGGAGAGGGGGGCAAACTGGACAAGACTGGGTGGAGACCCTTTTTCTGCCCACAGAGGCTCTGCTAAAATAATCTAAATGGCTTAAGAAAAAGAAAGAAAGAATCTGGAGATAGCTGGATATTTGCTTCTAGCTTTGAAAAAAAAACTGGATTGGGAAGGGTGGGGGCTGTGAACTATTTATAATGTAAATGACTACTTGGAGAAGCTTCCTCAGGTGGAAGGTTTTCTCCCCTTTTTCACTGGAAAAAAATGGAAGACGTCGGGCCCACAAAACCAGAAAAGGCGGTGCTGTGAGCACCCCCTCAGTCCACGTAGTAATCACTTCCCTTTAGACAGATTGAGAGCTGAGGTCTACGTACACTCTCAAACCTGTGGACCTGGAACACCTTGACCTTAGCAGGAGAGAGCAAAGAAAAGCCCAGGTACCTGATTTAAGGTGTCTTCTTCTCGTTCAGCATGGGACAAAATGTAGAGCATCCTCATCTTTCTTGCGCGCTCAAGAGTTGCATCAGGAGCGACCAGTTAACAGCTTCCCTCATCTTTGTTTGCATGAAACCTGGATAGCTCCATGGTCTAAGTCTCTGGCTGCGGGACCAGAGGCTGGGAGTTCGATTCCCCGCTATGCCTCCTTGACAAGGGGCTGCAATGGATGATCCATAGGGTCCCTACCAGCAGTTCTAAGATGAGGATGATGATATACTAACAGTGGGATAAATGCATGAAAAGTCAGATTGTGATTTGTTGTACAACTGTATTTCAATTCTGTCATCTGTTGACCGGATCAATTTATTAAAAAGGAAAGAGCCGGATAAGGCAGGTTCTTAGGATCCTAATAAGAGGCTCATTCTCCCCTCCACCTCTTGTTCCATATTCAGCTTCTTTGACAAAATCCTATAATCCTATTCTTAGGACTTGAAGCTGGGGGGAGGGGGAAGCTTCGGATGCTCCTCCGTGGCAAGTTTGGGGACGGGCTGATCAATCCAGAGCATCCCGATCAGGGGAAGAGTTGAAGGAAAAAAAGAGCCCTAATGAAATGCTCAAGGAAAGCATAATCCAGCAAATCCATGGAATTAGAGGACAACCCAATAGGTCAAGCCTTGCTTGATTTTTTTTGTGTGTGTGGCTTGCCCAGCCTTTGGCTGAACACCTCCAGCGACAGAGAACAAATCTCAAGATTCTTAGTTAAGCCCGCAAAAGCGCAGGGGCTTAGTGAGCAGAGTTTACAGCTAGTGAATGGAAGTCCAACCTTCACGAAGCAGTCTCAATGTATTTTAGCATCCCATCCAAGATGAGAAAGAAGAGGAATAAAGGGGGCCAACTTCAAAGGCAGGGGGTGTTGACCATGTTTCCTCCTCCGACCTCAGGCGGCAGAAAGGTTTGGGTCATCGCCGTCAAAGACAGAATGGCAGACTTCTGGCCAAATCCACCAGGACAGCTTCTAAAAGCTCTTATGTGAAGTGTTTCCTACTCATCCAATATATTAGCCAAGCAAACAAAAGAGTGGGACCCATTCCAAAAAAAAACCCTATGCTTTCTATTGATTTTTTAATAAGGGTCATAAATTAAAGGACTCTGCACTTAAAAGACTTCTGGGTTGCTCTTTTCTGACCTAGTGAGAGGGGGGGTCCTATCCAGGTTCACACCAAGGTCTGGATTCTGAAAACTTTTCCAGAAGGAACCATGCCAGGAGAGAGAAACGGCAGCCAAAGTTCCCGTTCCAAAAACAAAGCATGCGCTAACGGTCCACAGC